CCCCAGGAAAATTGGGCTTTAACCCCCGGTGCTGCCTGCTCCCCCTCCCCAGCTTCCTGGGCCTCAGACGGGCAAAACGTGTCCCGTGTGGCCGGGAGGGGACCCGCGGGTCCCCGGGGCCCGTCCGGTGCCGTTAGCTGCGGGCACTGCTGCCTTCAGTGTGTAGATCCGGTACGGTATAAACTGGTGTATAGGAGCGCAAGGTAAATACGGCTGTGATCCCATTGAAGGAGGGGAGAAAATTGAGGGCTACGACCTTTTCAAGGGAATCTATACAGCAAACGATATTTAAAAAGAAAGTTTTAATCTTCTGGTTTTCTGTTAAATGGTGCAGTTCGCAAAGCAAGTTGTTATTTGGGCAGCTAAACACTTGTGATTAACTGAAGTCTTCTCTCTTTTTTGTCTTTTCAGCCTGGCAGAAGACAAAGGGTGGAGTGAAAAAGATTGCATGCCTTTTAAAAATCAAGGGTAAGTGGTGCTTAACGCAAAGACTGTCCAATTAAGTTCCAGCAATCTTGTTTACTCTCAAAGTGGTGTGTTATGTGTAGTATCTACACTTGGTACCAAATACCTTTAATACTACTTTTTGGGCAGATAATATAATCTCGTTCTTACAAATACCTGTAATTCACCTTTTTCGGTCTTTGTGGGTATTGTTTTTATTCAACCTGCCACAGGCGTTGCAAAGGTGGCTGCTGTGGCATCTTTGTGTCATTAGGTGGCAGAGAGAGACAGGCTATGTTCTACGCTCGTTTGTTCTGCAACCCGTGAGCACTCAGAGTGATTGATAGCCTGACATTATTTAAATAGGCTGGTTAAATGGACACTTGTGAGAAACAAAAGCCTTCCCTATTTTTTTTTAATTGCCTTACATGCGAGATCTGTGTGTAACAGAATAGAAAGATGTCCCGTTTGACCTGTAGTGGATTTGCAGCAGGAAGGCTGTGTGTGGCTTTCTCATTATTTAGCCTTGCAAACGGTAGGATCCTGTTGGTATGTAGACTGGTATTACAGAAGAATGAGTCGAAGTGATCTGTGTAAAGCCGCGTGGCAAGTTGGTGACATCACTGGGCGCATGTCCTGGGAGTCGCATGCTGGCAGCCCCGACCCTTTTCCTATCTGAGAGTAAAAATGTGCCTGTGCTGTGCATTTATTTCTTTAGTTTCCCTCTTTTACTGGGCCTTTCAAATTTCTGTCATCAACGAAACAGTAACCATATAACCAGGCTTTGAAGCGTGTCTAAATATGTAAAATAAATGCTGTATATATTTTTCCACTTCTTTTTCAGAGAAAGCTGTGTGACGTGGCGGACGCAGGAGGTCTTCTCCGAGACCGGAGGTGAGCAGCAGTGGATGCAGGTTCCCCTGTTGAATAGCTCCATGCCCCAGCTCGTGTTGCAGATGTGGCTGTAGTGCCATGTTTGTGTCATTAGGTGGCAGAGAGGAAAAGGCTATGTCTTTGCTAGTGCTCTGAAACCTGTGGGCACTCAGGAATGATGAACAACCTGACAATTGTTTCTTGGTTTTCCTGTTTTTGTTTGTTTTCTTTAATGTTAGTCTTAAATCGTGAAGGATGGACAGCTGTGGAGGGACGGGGAACAGAAGCTAGCCCTGTCCTTCAGTATGACAGTCACTCTCTTAATGAATACCTTGTTGATGTGACAGATAAGAGATACGACTGACTTTTCTGCCATCGTGGTCTACATTTTAGAAGTAAAACTTCTATGTTGCACTAACATGCTATGTTAAAACCTAATCCAGATTTCTTGCCTATCGTATCTTTTATTATTGTTACAGAGGGATGGCAAACTCCAGTATTTATTCTAATAGTCCTGAGTCCCTGGAGATTTGCTCTCCTGACATATTAATCATTGAGGGTCAGAGATGAAGGGGTTTCCTGTCCCTGAAACTTGTAACTGCTCAGAGATGAGTAGCTTGACATTGTTTCCACGTGTACCTCTTTCTCCAGAGAATTGGTGGAAGGTAGAGCAAATTTCCTTTAAAAAGCAGTTAAAATGATGCCAATTTTAACTGCATCAGGGGAAGGTCCTTCCTTTTTTTTTTTTTTTTTTTCTTTTCACAAGGACAAATAGAAGTGACAGCTCTATTCTTATTCTTTTTTTATATATATAGAAACAATTGGGTGTGGATTTAGCATATGGAGAAAATTGCACCCTATTCCCAGCATTAATAAAACACTCAGCCAACAACATCTCGACTTCTAAGGGTGCTGAGTAAGTTGGACCAGAAGGTGCAATCTGCAGTCTTCTGAAACGCAGTGTTATCATGCTGACGGGGGGAAAGGGGAGAGAAAAAACCAACTAAACAAACCACCCCCAAAAACCCCAAACTGAAGATCTTTTTCCTTCTTACAGTTACTTTTGAGAACAGGACTGAGTTCTGGAAAACTTGCTTCAAACGTTGAAGGTAGGTATTAGTCATTTCTTGGAAACATTGGAAACCTCAATGTTACCAAAACAGTCATTGTCTGAGTAGAAGTCCTTGGATTGGTACGTCTTATCCCTTCTGACTTCGTGTGGGACAGGGACAAATTTAATAAAAAAAGTAAAATTAAAAACGCTACTAGTGTATACTTGCAGAAAGAACTTAAAATTCAGTATTTTTTTGTCTTTTTTACTGACAAACATTTACTTTAGGTGGAGCACTTTCAGATTCCTCTATTTTGCTAATGCAGTAGTTTTTGTAAGCAATCTTAAAACACTCTTCTGGTTAATTTTTTTTTATTTCCCTTCCTCAAACTGCCTTTCTCAGCTCCGAAAGTGCACCCGTTTAAGGGCAGCTGTCAGTCAGAACAAGACTTTTGTCGAGAGTGTACACTTTTATGTGTGTTGGGGTGCCTGAGCGTATCAGCAGGCTGTGGTACTACTGCAGTCTGATACAGAATGCTACAGAAAAAAATGTTTGTGTCACAGATGTGCAAGATAATGAGTTTGTGTCTTAGGCATAATGAAGAAAAATAAAAAAAGATTGATTTCAGTAATCCAAGAAACAAAAAAAATGCTAAAAACTGAAGTATTCTGGCTTTCAGTAGGTGCAGTAGTGGAATGCTTTGCCCTGTTTCCCAAGACACAGTCTAGCTTCCTTGAGCATCATGTTCTAGCTGGTAACACAGCAGGCAAAAAAAACCCCCAAAATATAATTGAGCACAACGTGACTTTTTAAGTTGGTTTCTGCTGTGTTTATGTGCTAGCGTGATGATGAAGGAACCTCGCCTCCGAGGCGGAGAGCTGCCAGGGAGCGCCCGTACCAACATACCCGAATAGCTCGGTGTGTCACTGTCCTTTTTTGGGTGATGTGGTGTGCATGAGCCTCTGCTGTGCTGCTGTTACTGAAACAAGTGGTGAGAGAAGCTCTGGATACACACAGATAGTATTGTGAAACTAAGAGGCTTTGCAGTGACTAACAGCTCGACAAAATCTGGCAGTGCTGAATGGTGGAAAATGTCCTCATTAAATGGGCATTATGAGGGCCAAAGGTGCCATTAACCAAGCGGGTAGCTGCTGGCTGCAAAATGAGCCATTTAATTGGGAAAAGTCACTGCCTACCAGCATTGGCTTTGGAAAAGAATGCTAATAAGGTTGTTGGGGATATGGTTATGCAAAGAGGCATGCCTTAAGATGTGACTCTTCCATTTAAATTCCTGACTTCTTTTAACCCAGAAATGCGTATTTGAGTTTTTTCATCAGACTTTACTTGCATCAAGGGTCCTGTAGGGGTAGTGAGTGCCTAATGAGGCGCTCTC